CGAAACCAGGCAAGGAAGAGATCCAAATTGACTGGAAAGACTCCAGTCTGAGCCTCGAACAGAAAGAACTCCTCCGAAAACTTCTCCTGCGCTTCGACCTCTTCGTCTCGACATCAAAAGCCCCGGGAAGGACTGACCTGACCAAATGCCACATCAACACCGGGGATGCGACCCCGATCAAACAAGCACCATTCCGAGTGACCCAACGAGAGGGAGAGATCATGGAAGCAGAAATCAAACAGCTCCTGGAGCTTGGACTGATCCGACATTCCACAAGCCCGTGGGCTAGCCCAGTACTCGTGATCAGGAAGCCGGACGGTTCCATCCGGTTCTGCATCGATTACCGACGGCTCAACGACGTCACGATCAAAGATTGTTACCCAATGCCTCGAGTAGATGATCTCTTGGATGTTCTGGGCAAATTCAAGTTCTTCACAACCATGGACGTGGCATCGGGATACTGGAACGTGCGGATGGCTGAAGAAAGCATCGAGAAGACAGCCTTCACCTGCAAGTACGGGCTGTACGAATGGCTAGTCATGCCCTTCGGACTGTGCAACGCGGTGCCGCAATTCGAAAGGCTCATGGAAGGGGTCCTCCAGGAATACTTGTGGCGCATCTGCTTGGTCTACCTAGACGACATCATCATCTTCAGCGAGGACTTTGGCGAACATCTAGTGCGCATATCCCAAGTCCTGACGCGCCTCCAGGATGCCGGGTTCAAACTGAAAGCGTCCAAGTGCCAATGGGGAAGGGATAGGGTCGGGTTCCTGGGGCACACGATCACCCCGGGAGGCATCCTACCAAACCCTGAAAAAGTGAAAGCTGTGCTGAGAATCAAACCCCTGAAAAACGTGGCTCAAGTCCGATCCTTCCTGGGACTCGCCGGCTACTTTCGGAGATTCATCAAGGGGTACGCCCTACTATCACGACCCTTGGAAAAACTTAAGGTGGCCGACGAGTTCGAATGGTCCCCGGAATGTCAAACCTCCCTGGACAACCTGAAGAGAAAGCTGGCCAGCCCCCCAATCCTAGCCTACCCGGACTTCGAACTACCTTTCACGGTCTTCGTGGACGCATGCCCCATAGCCCTGGGGGCAGTATTGATGCAAGAACCACGAGGCCGACACCGAGGGATTGCGTATGCTAGCCAAGCCCTGGACGCCTCTCAACAAAAATGGATCAAGAAGAAAGACGGAGTCTCGGAGATCGAGTGTTATGGGTTAGTGTGGGCCACAACCAAGTTCAGACCCTACCTCGACCGGAGACACTTCACGGTCTACACGGATCACGCGGCCCTAGTATGGTTATACAAGACCGGATCGAAGTCCGGGAACGGGAAGTTGGCCCGGTGGGCCGTGCACCTACAAAGCCTGGATTTCACAGTGGTTCATCGCCCTGGAGCACAGATGGGGTGCGCCGATGGACTGTCAAGACTCCCTATAGAGTCCCAGGGCGAACCCACCCCGAGCGCATATCTTTGGGATGCGGAAACCGAAGATTTCTCAGCCGTGCCCCTGCCGGCAGGGGGTCCCCGAGTGTGCTCTATAGGCTCGGGAGTAGTGGGAGCGATCACAAGGGGCCAAGCCCGCGCGTCGGAACCACCCCAGGAACCCCCGGAAGCCAAAACGAGAAAAGGAGTGAACCCCAAGGACCCAAGCAAACTCCCTAGAACCCCCGACCGTAACCTCGACGGCGAAACTCCCGTCTCTGAGGGCTTGGAAGATTCTCTGGTCGAGGAGGGGCCCGCTCCGGCAGCCGAAGCGGACGGGGTGTCGCCCCTGAAACTGCCTCCGTACTACGACGACACGTACGCTCTACCCGACTGGGTACTGCGTAAAGAACAGGCAAGGGATCCGTTCACCATTTCCATGAAGGCGTACCTCGAGGACAAGGCACTTCCCCTGGAAGAATGGCTTATGAAGGTGGTAACCCGGACGTCCGAGCATTACGAAGTGAAGGACCAAGTACTCTATCGGAGGGTGATCTTGAAGTCCCCAATCAGAAATCCCAGGTTGAATCTAGT